TGGCTCGGACTAGCCTCCCCCAGCCCGGGACTCCATTTCCCCATTGGCACAGTGATGCCTTGGCGTGGGGGGGTGCATGGGGCTGAGCCACTTAAGTGAGGGACACCTCCACCCCCCAGCAAGGGCCAAGAGCCCTTGCTCTGGCTCCTGCAGCAGGTCCCGGCGGGGCCTCAGTCTCCCCTGGAGAATGGGGCGTGGGCACACTTCCTGTCAGGCCGTGGCTGCTTTTTGGGGCTGTCAGCTGCTCCCCAGCGAAAACCTGGACCCTCAGGGCAGGACCAGGGGTGTGTTTTGTTTTTTCTGTGGCAAAAGGGTTTGTTGATGTTGGATTTTTCCGGTTAATGCTGCTAAGCTGTTTAATCTTCAAGGATTTAGTGAGCAGTGGGGAGGAAGGGAGGGGGAGGGGCAAGGGAGGTGGACCCACATTTAACGCCCAGAAGAGCCACTGGGGAAGCTGTGGGACAGGGGCCCCGGGGGAGGGTCTTCCCCAGCCCCTCCAGCTTCTCTCAGAACCCCTGGGCCCTATCCCAGCCTACCTCCACTTGCTGCCTCGTCGTGCCTCAGTTTCCCCTTCTGACAGCCAGGCAGACCCCTAGCCCTCTGGGTGCTATGAGGACCACTGAGCTCAGACCCCAGCCTGGGACCCTGTCTGCCGTCCCTGCGGTGGGGTCCTGGGCTCCCCTGGACACGGTGGAGACAGTAAGCTCCCTCTGGAGGGTGCCTCCTGGCCCTACCCACCTGTTGCCTGTTCTGTGGACTTGGCTTGTTTAAGCGAACTTTAAAAGAAAGTGTATGTGTTTCCATAAGCAGTCCCCCACCCCTGCCCAGCCAAACAGTATGAGGACCCGGTGGGCTCTGCAGGGTCCAGTTGCCCGCCTGCTGGGACACCTGGGGTTGCCTCCAGGGCCATGGTGCCAGGGCAGCATTTCCAGCACCAGCTGACGAGTGCAAATCCTCAAAGGGCTGGAGCCTTCGCTCGGGACAGCCCTGGGCCTCTTCTGCTGGCTTTTACTTGGGATGGTGACGTGGGGGGTGGCGGGCCACTGCTGCTGGTGTCCGTGATTGGGTGGCACCAGGGTTCCGAGCAGTGTCAGCAGAGCTTTCAGATTGAGACCAGCAGCAAAGAGCTGGTGACTGGCTTCAGTAGCGGGCAGTGAATAACCCTGAGTCTCCCAGCAGTGGGTGCGGGCCGTGGGTGACAGGTGGCAGCCACTAGCCCCAGAGGAAGAGGGGTCGGAGTTACCTATGTCCTGCTTGGTGATGTTCACCATGCCGGGCAGCCATGACCACGCTCTGTGATGCGGGGTCTCCAGTGCCAGGATGGCCGTAGTGCCCAGGCTTTGCCTGCCCCTTCGGGAGCTGCTTTCCTGGGGTCTCCTCCCAGGCTTTGGTGTGATGAGAGAAGAGGGTACAAGGGCCGGAGCAGAGCTGTGGCCCTCGCACAAGCACGAGGGATGGGAACGGTGATAGGTTGCCCTCACGTCACCGTCACCGTCTCCGTCTCCCTCCCTTCCCACAGATGTTCCCGCTGCCCGTGGCCAACGGGAAGGGCCGGCCCACCTCCCTGGCGGGCACCCAGTTCCAGAGCTCAGGTAGGACGTGTTCACCCAGGGCGAGGGCAAAGGCGGGGGTGCACAGGGTTGGACGTGGGCAGAGGCAGCTGAGGCACCCTGTCTGGGTGTGCATGCTTGGGTGTGAGGTAGAGTCTCGGGGACCCCAGGATCAGGTGTCCTCAGCGAGGACTGGGATGTCCCACGAGGAGACACTGGTGCTGGTTGGAGAAGCTCAAAGTCGGGGGATTGGCGTGAGGGGTGGGGTCTGGTGGGGGGGCAGTGGCTTGGGTGGCGTGCACAGGCCTGGGGGCAGGACTTTGTGCCTGGAGGGTCCCGAGCAATGCAAGGGGCCCTCGTGGTGGCAGGGGACCGGGACAGGTGTGCAGGGCACTGGGGTCTCTGGAGGACTTGGGCTGTGATGCTGGGAGGTGGTGCGTGTGTCACTGGGGTCCGGTGTTCTCAGGAAGCCCTCTTGGCTGTTGGCGGTGCTCTGGGGGTGCTGCACGTTGGGTGTCAGACGGCTCGCCGCACGTCTGCAGTGCAGAACCACCGCCTCCTGGGCCGAGGCCGCGCGCTCTGTCGCTGTGAAGTTGCGCGCCGTGCAGACTGCGTGGGGCTGAAGGGCGTTGGCGCCTGCTCCGCTGCAGTGGGTTTGTCTTTGGTGTTGGAGAGTCCCTGGACTCTGGCTGTGGCTGCGACAGCGGGTGGGTTCCAGCAGAGCTGCAGACTGGGGCGAGGAAGGAAGGCCCGGAGATGGGTTCCTGAAAATCAGCCAGGGAGACCGAGTCGGGCGACTTGTGGGTCTACACGCTGGGGTCTGTCTCCCTGGAGCGGGGCTGACTTGGTGAAAGCTGCAGCGGCCTCTCACGTCTGGGGAGCTCTCAGCACCTGCCCAGGGTGTAAGAGAGGCTGCGACTCCCAGCTGCGTTTCTAGGACCGGGTCTGGGGGAATGCTCTGAGGGGGAGAGGGGGTGCTGCTCCTGGAAGTTGCCTGGCTGCCCTGCCCTTCCCTGCTCTGAGGAAGTGGCCGCAGGCTGGCTGTGTGACCTGGGCATGGAAAGCCCCAAGGGCCCCTGCCATCCTCCCCATGCCAGGGACACTTCCCTGTGGGGGGATAGGAGGCCTAGGGCCTATGCCCTGGCTGGGTATGGGAAGGGGTCTTCATTGTGCCGCTGTCTACTTGCCCAGCCAGCCCCACTGTGGACGGCTCTGAGCCTGGAGTGTCTGAGCTCCAGCTGCTCCTGAAAAGCAGGGTACCAGGCATCGTACCAGGCATCTCTTCCCAGGTGCCCAAACTTCCCCTGGAGCCCCCCAGACCCCTGTGCCTGCTTCCCGACCTCCCCCTCTCAACACACAGCTCGCTTCCCCGAAACGCAGTTTGACCAGAAGCTGGAACTCGGAGCCTAGAGGTCAATGTCCCTGGGAAGGTGGACCGGGCATGTCCTCTTCACGTCTGGTCTCTCGCCAGCTTGCTGGGGGTCACAGACCCCAGCCAGGGGGAGCTCAGGACACTCCGGAGACCACATGCCTGGTCTTTGTTCCTTTGGGGGAGTTCTGCAAGTGACCCCGGAGCTGCCTGGGGAAAGCTTTGCGAAGGACAGCCAGGTGGGCCCCGGGGAGCCCCATCAGATGGGCCCCGCCCCCTCCCCACACCCATGGCTGGGAGCTCGGTGTGGCTGTGTTTGGTGCAGACAAGCCGAGTGTCTTCTGGAGCTGGTCGGCTGCAAGAATATTCAGATTTCTTCTTGGACCTGTTTCGTGTTCTGTCGCTGCTCAGACTACACAGTGCAGGGCCCGGGCCACTCCCGATGGCTTCTGCGTGTCCCGTTCTTCGCTGTGCCACCATCCTTGCCCCCGTTTGCGCTGCCCCTCCGCCACGCGTGTCCTCTACCCACCGTGGGCCGTGCCTTGGGCAGCGGCCTTGGCGCAGTTTGGTGCGCGCGTGCCCGTGGTCCCTCTCCTCTCCAGTCTCCTAGTAGAGTTGACCTCTTACTTCTTCGGGGCTCACTTTTCTGTTTCTAAGTAATGCGGCATTTCCAAAAGCTGGGAAGAAAAGTCTGGGCACTCGTGCGCACCCTGCACCCTACCCTGTCCCGTCCCCACTTGTAACATCCTGTGTGTAATATGCACAGCAGCACACCAAGGAGGGGTGTAGGCATGCATGTCCACAGTTCTCGGTTCCGGCTCCCTGCACCCCCATGTAACAGAACAAAGCTGCTCCGTTGGGTTCTAGGTGGTCCTCCCCCAGGCAAGGGTTCACATCACCACCGTCAGAACCCAGACACAGCCCCTCCCTGTTCCCCCCAGCCCCCAGCCCCAAGCACTCCCTTCAGCTTTTGTGAAAGGCACTGGTCGTGGGGCTGGGATGGAAGTAGGGGTGTCCAAAGCAGCTCGGACGCAGGCTCGCCCAGGCTGAGTGAGTTCACTGAGAGCTTGGTCCTTTGGGGACTGTTGGCCGGCCAGTGTTTGCACCACAGTCTGGCTGGCAGTGGTGACCAGGGCTCTGGGCACTGTCTGCAGCAGGCCATGGCTGTTCATGCCACGTCTGCATTTCACCTTCTGGATGGTGGACGTCTCTTGTCAGCTAGACTGACACAGAGGCGGAGCCCCGGTAGCCATCCCTGGTAGCCCAACTAAGAGCTGCCTTTCAGGTGCTGCTGGGTAAGCGGTGGGCTGCTAACTACAGGCTGGGTAGGACTCCCCAGGGCAAAGTTCTACTCTGCCCTGTAGGGGTGCTGGGAGTCAGCCATGGATGGTTTGGGAGACCTACCTTTCTTAGGAGTAGGTAGCCAGGTAGACTCACCACCCCCACCCTCTTTCTTTGAGCCCTGGAGGGTTTTGGAGGGTTGGCTGGCTGCGCCTGGCCCCCTCCTTAGGGCTGGCTTCTTGCAGTGTTGACCCTCGCAGGCCTCCTGGGAGGTGATGGGTAGGGACGGGGAGCTCCTAGGCACTGACCTATGGCCCTGCTTGTATCCAGCGCTGTCCCCGTCCACTCCCAGCACTCCTCCTCTCCGTTGATCATGAGGGTCGGGCACTTTTTAGTTCCTCTGGGCTCAAGGTAGAGGTGGCCACCTTTCGTGGAGCCAGAGCCGTTAGCCTCTGGTTCTTGGGTTTCCCTTTTTGGTTTGTTTCCTGTGTTGGTGCAGATTAGTAGAGACCAGTCGTTGTCTTTAAGCCCCCACTTTAACGAAGGGCCGACTCACCTGCCCTCCTCCTGGTTTTGCCAGGAGGTCAGAGTTCACTCTCAGTCTCCATCTAACTTCTGCTCTTGAGACCTCGGTTCCTCTGCCTGCTGCTTACCCCTCATTGACCTGCCCTCCAAGGGCTGCGTCCTGGCTGAGTCAATGCCGATAGATTGCCTGCTTTCCTCTTTTAATCTGAGCTGCTGCTCCTCTTAAAGTTACCCCGTTGGGTTTTGAGTCGAGGATCTGGTTTGTCTCTCTCGACCCTCGGTTACAGTCAGAGGGCGGCGCTCTCACTGCCCTGGGTCCACGCTGACTCAGCGAGGCTGCAGGACAGGGCAGAACTGCCCCTGTGGGGTTCCCAGACTGCAGTTCCACGAGAGGAGGAAGCTCCGTGGTTTTGAGCTGCGGACCTGGGGGATCGCAGCTCAACGAACGAGTAACTACTGTGCCACCGGGGCTCCGGCTCCGAGCATTGAGGGGGTACCCACTGTGCCCACGCCCCGGCAGTCTCAGTGACGCCGCCGGGCTTCCCTCTGAGCTCTGCTTATCACACGAGGGCTTCAAAAAGATCGCGGCAAAATTGCCCTTGGTGTGCTGACAGACTTTCGAGTTGGATGGAATGCTTCTCTCAGTCTCTTGTCTTCTAGTCCTGGTGGCACGGGGCTTTTAAGTTGGCCCGCGAACTGCAGGTTCAGCAGTTCAAATCTACCAGCCGCTCCAAGGGAGGAAGACGAGGCCATCAGTTTTGTAAAGATATACAACCTCCGAAACCCTAAGAGTTCTGCTCTGTCCTGTAAGGGCACTGAGAGTAGAAAGCGACTAAATGGCAGTGAGTTGATTTTTTTTTTTTTAATCAGACGTGGCTGGACTGCTGCTACTGTTTGGAAGGTGTAGGGTTTTCGTAAATTCTAAAATAGGTGTTCACAAAGCAGACTATCATTTATACAGTCAGTAACTCGACAGACACTGAATGAACCCGTCCATTGCAACCCTTTCCATGCACCATCCCGGGCCCCACCTCCTCCCCGTGTTTGTGTCTGTCCCTAATCCTCTGTGCTTGGTCTGGGGTTAAATGCCACCCTTTTGATCTCAAATGGTTGCTGATTCTAACACCGAGGGACCTGCAGTTTCAGGGCCACCTTCATCGTCTTGGGGGCCCCACCTATTTCTGGTGAGCAAACCTGGTCCCGTTATTTTATTTTGAATCTTGTTCTACACCCCCCACCTTTGACCTTTTCCTGTGATCCCTTCAGAGCAGTTGGTAGTGGTAACTGGGCACCATCTAGTTCCTCTGGTTTCAGGTACAGAACTTCTGTAATCTCACTGAAACGCGGGGGGTGACTGGGGGGCGCCCTGCTCACTAAGGGGTTGGACCCGGCATTCTGCATCAGAACAATCAGCCCCGCGCAGGGAAGGTCTGCTCCGACTCGAGATGGGGCCCCTGGCCCTGCAACACGAGATGGCAGCTGTCCATATCTGACCGACGCCCGCCCCTCAACCATAACCCATGAGCCACTTGAGGCTTCCCCCTTCCCCTCCTTTGGGTTTCTGTTTGTGGGTGCTGGGGGCTTGGGCAGGTCAGAGACGTGGGCCCAGTGGGTGAGCAGCATGCCCTGCCTTCCCAGACACGGGCGTTTTACTTTCCTAGCGGCACCTGGCACATCGGGCATGTGTGTCCACCCTTTATGGCAGCTGGGTGAAGATCAGATCATTGGTTTTACCTTCAGTGATTTGTACACATTTTGTTCCAGCCCATTGACGGCAACCCCTCACGTGTTCCCTCAGGCACGCCCGCGCCACCGCCTCCGTTTCCTGTTTCCATTCCCTCCTGCCCTTGGGGTAATGCCGCTCTTT